GTCCGAGGCTGCGGGGGCCAGCCAGTAGAGAAACACCAGCACCTCAACATCTTTTTCCCAGCCATGGTCAGAATCTGACTTCAAAGCAGCGATGAGGGACATGATGGACTGTCGTGAAAGCCAGAGGTTTGGACGGAGGTCAGATCCATCTTCGAAATACAATCGAAGAATTGGCACAGCAGCATTCAGGCGGCAGTAGGGCTCACAGTCTGTAAATGTGTGTCTATATATATATATATATATATATATATATATATATATATATATATAAGAATATGTATATTATTTATTTATCTATCTATAATATTTATTTAGGCTATGTATATTGTATGTATTCCTTCTCTCCCTCTCTCTATTTATCAAATTGTGTATTATGTATTCAAGTTTATTCATTGATTCATGTCTTTTGTTTGTCCTGTGTATTTTTATGCATTTATTTATAACAATAAATTACTCTATTTTGATGCTCCAAATGAGCTTGACTTTTTATTCTGAGGTAAAATTTGCTAGCTAAATAGGTGATTGTACTTACCTTATTTGATAAATGATTTACAAGTCAAGTCAAGTCTGCTTTATTGTCAATTCTTCCACATGTACAGCACATACACAGAGAATTGAAATTGTGGTAAGAATAACAAGCTGTCGACGAAGGCGTGATCTTTTATTTATTTGGTCATTAATCAGATGCTTTTATCCAAAGCGACTTACAAATGAGGACAACAGAAGCAATCAATTGTAGTATTAAAACAACTAAAAACAGACCCAAAACTAAAAGCTAAAACTTTATAAATAGTACCTATACACATTTTAAAAAGAAAGATTAAATAAAAATGACAAATGCATACAACAAAATTTCATAACGCTAAAAACAATTCAAAATAGTAAAGAACAAAAGGTATAAGAGTATAATAATGATTCTAACAACACTAAGCCAAACTCCAAAAAAAACAACTACGTGTATGTACAACCACACATATATATATATATATATATATATACACACACACACATTTATAAATTCTATATATATTTTTTCATTTCTATTTAGTTTGTTGAAGTATTAAAATAACTCAAATTAAATAAAACTTAAAACACCTATACAGACATAATAAATTCAGACATAGTTTAACTCAAATTAAAATAAATAAATACAAATAATACAAATCAAATGACAGTTTATCAGTAATCCTAAAAAATCTGTGATCTGCGAGCAGCTGACCCAAGCCTCCTCTGGGCTGTTGATCCAATCAACATTAAAACGCCGATGAAAGCGGTAAGAATAACATGAAACATTGCTTTTTTAAATTTTAAATTAAATTGGGCTCTTTAAATTTTGGCGCTGTTGTGAAGATGCATGTCACGTGACAACATCAACATGACAGATGTAATATGTCCGAATTCCATTCATACTATATAGAACGTACTATTTTAACGGTCGAGTACGTTGGTAGTACGTTCAAATTCAAATATAGTACCTACTAATCAGTATGCGATTTCAGCCGCACCCCAGGAGAATAAATAGGAAACCAAACGAGGAGGCTAACGAGGGAGACACAGGTGGAGCAACTTAAACAATAACGAGGTAACAAGATGGGAGGGGCCAGAAAATAGACAGCAGAGAGCACATGGCAAAAGACAAACACAACACAAGCCATGTGCTCCCAGAACACAGTCATCTGGTGGCCCTCCTGGGCACACCCGCTGAAAACTGTGACACACATTTTGGGAGACACAACGAATGAATAGAGAAAAAATTATATATCAATATTCCTATTAAATATTAGATATTATGATGAAAATCTTGCTAATTATTACTCCCATTATTGCACTTATTTGTTCATTCAATGTTGCCCCAAAAACACATTAATGTGCAAATTAGATACAGTTTATTGATACATTGTATAATGGAAAAAACGTGTTTATGGCCTTTTTACACACATTTTGCATAAAGAAAAATGTTTTTTAAAAATATCTTTCATAACATAGTTGAGAATCATCTTTATATAAAGTTTGGTATAAAAAATGAAAATTTGAATACATTTTTACATTTGATGATTAAAGGGTCATAGGACGCCCATTTTCCACAAGTTGATTCGATTCTTTAGGGCAGGGTTCCTCAAATCTTGCCCTGGAGGGCCAATGCGCTGCAGAGTTTAGCTCCAACCCTGATCAAACTCACCTACCTGTGATTTTCTAATGATCCTGAAGACATTGATTAGCACAGGGGTGCCCAAATTCGGTCCTGGAGGGCCGGTGTC